TATCATAGACAGTGGAGGATGTAGAACATCACATTATATAATTGTGCTTGTCGCAACCGAGTTCAAATTTTGTACTCACACCGTTTACAGATGGAAATACGCGTGGTAAACCGAGTTTTATAAAATTCTATTTAGAGGTCTTAAAATTTAATGTTGAAAAAAATTTTTGCACATATTTCCATTTAAAGAATAAACTAAAAATCTCACAGATTTTAAGTTTGCATCACTTTACAAAGCGTAAAATAGTTTTTGAAATAAATTTGCATAAAATTAATATAATTTCTGATTTTGGGCGAATTTTTAAAACTTTATACTTTTATGAGGTAAGAGTAATTTTGGAAGTAAAGAACTGTACCAAAAGGAGAAAAATAATTTGTCGTACAGATTAATGGGAATAAGAGCCCCTTTGAAAAATTCCTGTACAGTTTTATAAGAATAATAGATTCTTAAATAATGAAGTCAAATATCGAATCGCATTGTCAAAAGTATAAGATTTATAAATACGTTTGTTATTCGTGATATAAATTTGTCAGATAAAATAAGAGAATTATTTAATCACATGTTTCCAGTAAATTATATAATACATTATTTTTCTCATTTTAATTCATTAATAATTTTATGAGTCATAAAATAAAAGTTTATTTTGTAAAAACTTGTTTATTTTATTCAATAATTGTTCTAAAATGAAAATTCTTAATTCCTTTTATATATACATTCACTTTGTAACTAGTAATAAATTTGTTTCCTTAGAGTCAGTATAAGGCCTTTATCTCAAAACATCAAGAAGGCTTCTCCCCGCGATAATGACAGCCATTACCCATTGTCGTCAGGGGTGCGTGGACCCTTGTCCCCTTAGGCAATGGGGGTTGGAAGACGTACAAAAATACGGGCTAGTCATTTTTGGTGCATTTTTCTCTAATACAAAAACATGGGACGATCCGTTTTCGAGGGTACATTTAAACTTACAATAATCCATAACGAACCGTTAAGAGACCTGTATAAAAGAACGAGACAATCTGGGTCAAACCGTTAAAGGGTTAAAGGAAAGTGTCTTTATTTGGGCCAATATATTACAAGAACCACCAATAATGGAATATTAAGTAAGTTATTCCACAAATGCAGCGACAAAGCACTTTTTACAGATTGGTAGAAAAGGTGCTATGCATCTATGTTTATGATACTAATTAACAATAGTACGTAAAATAGGTAGGTAACATGTTAAAGAGTTTATTATTTTAAAATAACTCACATGTTCATTCAGTTTAGCAACCACTGAATCAGTGAAGAGGAACTGAAGCAAATAAATCTAATAATTATTACCTTAAGTATTAATTAAAATTTAATGCTAAAATTAAACTGTTTTAAAATTCCAAAACTTAACTCTTTAATTTTTTTTTATGAAAAAAATCATAATTATATATGTGATAAAATTTTAAGCTTCTACAAAGAACTGCTCCCTCTGTTGCATATTGCCTGTCAACAGTCTTTCAACTGTATTCTCAATTTTGTGAAATTGTTGGTAGGTTTTTTGGTCTCCTTTCAATTCAAGAATTCTGCTGAAGAGTTTGCAGTGCTTTTAGGTATTCATCTGAGGTTGGTGTATAGTCACTTTCTGCTGTATCAGTTTCATTGTCAGTTTCAATTTTCTACATCTTCTATAATATTGTTGTCAGTGTTATCATATGCTGTCTCTGTTATCATCAATTGCAACATTCCAGAAATGAATCTCCATAACTTCCCTCATAGATGTCCGAAATATTGGAAATAACTTGCAATTCTTCTGTGGTTTCTTCTAAATAAAAATCTTATTTTTTAAAACAAGTTCTAACTATGTTTTAGGAGACTACTTCCCATGTGTTGACTATAATATGCAAGCATCTAGCAAAATTATTGACTTGGATATCTCCTTCGAAGTGCTTGCATTTTCACAAGATTTAGTTCTGTTTTATCTCTTTTTTTAATTAATGCCTTTTCTGTAATGGCATTTAAAAGCTTTTATAATACTCTGGTCTCGATGATAGAAGTTGTATTTTCAGGAAGAAACACTAATTTAATATTTTTCAGAACGAAATTAGAAGGTTGGGCACCATAGTTACCTAACAGTAAAACTATGTTTTTCATTTTTCAGTTAGCTGTCCCATTTTAAAGGAAAATCAACAAAAATACTACACGTTTTCCATGAGTTACTGTTAGCAAGTTAGAGGTAGATTCTTGACTCCTTTTAGACATTGAGGTTGACTCCTTTTAGACATTGAAGTTTTCTGTTTTTCCCAATAATCAGTGGTATCTTCTTAATTAGCATCCGTAGTGCAAGTTAATAACGCAATTACTCATTCTTTCAGATTCTTAGGGGGGACTGCTCTTTCACTGTTAAATATTAATGTGTGCTCCAGTAATGCTCTGTAAAACAGACCAATTTCATCTGTATTATACATTTCATGTGGCTTGTATTCTTTTAGAAACTTGGGTAAAATGTCCTTTATCTAGTTCTGAATGATGATCTACCTCTTGCTTCTCAATATGCAGTTTCCAATACACAGTGTTATTTCTATTTTTTCATCTTGTGAACTGTCAATCAATTGGTACAAAGTTTTCTTCTACCATTTTAATAAATTCCACAACTTTTGTAATCAAAAGAGCTCTAGAAACAGGAACATTTTTTAGTATCGTACATTGAAACCACTCTAGAACAGTTTCAACATCTCTCAATTTTCTAACCTTTCTGAAATTCCTTGAGTTTTTATTAGTTTTATTTCTCTGTATAAGTAAATTGTGCAGTGTTTGGGAAATTCCCATTTTAAATGCTACTTCTCTTTGGCTGCACTTACAAAGCGTATTATAATCTTTCAGCACTTTATCTTTTTCTTTAAGCATTTTCAAGCTTAAATCATTTTGTTTAGGCATTTTCAACATGTTACAAGTAACACACAGGGAAAATCAAAAATGTTCCTTCTATTGGTTTGTTCAAATTATAAATTTCCATTTTTAGCCAGCAGAAAGCTTGCACTTTGTCAAGTCGATCTCTCACTTCATGATTATAGGCAAGACTGATAATGTGTAATATGCAAGGACGCATTTCATTCTTTAAATTTGATGCATATATGTACCCATATCATATGGTGTTTAAAAAATGAAATTACTACATTTTCTTTAATCCTGAGGAACATTCACTTGTTTATGATCAAAGAACTTATCATTAATGCATCTAGCAAACTGCTTTTGTTAATCATAAGATAAAGAAGTTTTGCTGCTCTCAACTTTTCTCTTAAGACCTTTGCAAATGTGTGTGATGGGGACTAGGGAAGGATACCTGGTATTGCCAGCAGGTCTTAGTACTAATTACGCTGTCCAAAAATTTTCTTAAACCCATTAAATTGAAGCACTACATAACTGAAGGATAAATAAATGAATGAACTTTTATCAGGTGGCAACAGCCTTTTCTGGATCTGAAGAATCAGTTTTTTACCAGTGAGTATAAGCAGCAAAGATGAGTTTGTTAAGCAGCAGTTTTCGTACTGATTAGCTTATATTTGTTTTGGCTTCTGGAAATCTGAATGTATTTAGTGACTAATGTTTTTAGCCAGTGAGCATATTCTCTCTCTATATATACAGGGTTATTCAAAAAGAAAGAGCAGATTTCAAACATTTATTTCTTCCAAGCTACAAAAGATAGAAACATGATTCTAATGTGGATAGAGAAAATAGATAAAATGGATAGAGAAAAGTTTACAATTATGGTATGCATTCAATAACTGCAGTTTATATGGCTTCATGTGCAGATGATGTTTTAGAACTTCGCCATACCGTTGGTTGAGGAATTTTAAGTTCTTTGCTTGCTCGCAATGTGGATTTCTTTGGGCTCCTTTCGTAAAGTGTATACGAATACACTCGACGTTCTTCGTTTGATGTGCGTGGATGTCCCGTGCTTTTCCCTTTGCAGATGCAACCATCTTCTACGAATTGTCGATGCCACTCGTAATTTGCTTATGACGCGGTGGTTGTTTATTAAATTGACGACAGTGAAATGCTAGCTGAACTGCAACAATGGACTCTAGTTTTGCCAAATATGTAGAACACAAAAGACTTCTGCTGTGGTGTCGCCACCATTTCACTACAGACTACCAACCAACAAACAATACCGGAACAAACAACAGCGCCAATGCGACCATGATTGGAACTTTTACCCGTACTAAATTGTACACTTTTCTCTATCCATTAACATTAGAATCATGTTTCTATCTTTTGTAGTTTGGAAGAAATACATGTTTGTAATCTGCTCTTTCTTTTTGAATAACCCTGTATATTATGATTTTTGTATTTATTTAGCTATTTTTAGTAGAATTTGTAATTAAAATTGTTTTTATTCCCGTGTAATGCAGCACAAGAGTTACTTGAAGAGAAAGCTACACTGGAAAAATTAAACTACAGAAGCCCGTGCATTTAATAAATAGATATCTCATAATTATACTCTTTTGCTGTCCAGAAAAATCAAGAAAATATCAGAATGTTCTCGTGCAGGATTAAAAAGCTTATAAAAGCCAAAGAAAAACATCTTAATTGAGTTGGTTACAAAGTTGTTTACTTAGTTCTTGTTGTTGACTATAGCGAATTCGCGGTGAAATCGGATCACCTTTCTCTGTTTTGAATTTAGTTCTGTTGAATGTTTTAATAATTTAAAATATAACTACTGTGAGATATTGTGATATTGTATGAATATCTCTGAGGAAATTTAACTGTTTTGTATTTATTCTTGGGATAATAATAAATTTTATTAACTTCTATCGACTTGTGCGTTCAGTCCATTACGAACCCATATGCACACAACAGTAAATATATATATTTAACTGATAAAATTCTGATGTAGATTTAAATAAATTAGTTTAATAATTTTTTTCCTTTGAAAAGTGTGAAGATAAATAATATTTCACAATGTCACTACATATCAGTTTTTTAAAATGTGTTTTTGATTTTTATATGTCATTATTTTTTAATTCTTTTAGGATCCAATGAATGTAGGTGGAATTATCAGATCTGCTTATTATTTTGGAATTCAAAAACTTTTTGTGGTTAGGGAAAACAGGTAAATGTTTGTTGAGTTTTCTTGTTCTTTCAGGTGCTTGCTGAATGTAAGTTAAAATTAACAAGTTCAAATTTGGTGTATTACATTTAATATTAAAATTTATCATAATGGCATAAATATTTATTCACTAAGATATTAAAGAAACTCAAATTCTTATTATTTAAAAAATATCCCTAAAAAATGCACCATTATTCAGCATATTTTCTAGCCTAGATTATTTGCAATACATAATATTCAGAAAATAGTCATTTTCAATCCTGAATTTCTGTTAAAATTAATTTCTTTACCTTGTTTGATATTAAACTTGTAATCTACAAATCATGCAGACTGAGTATTTTTATACTGAGAAATAGAGTGCTAATTGATGAATATTCAATCATATGATTGTCTTGAACAATTTTAACTGAATTATGTATAATATGAATTTTAAAACTTTGAAGCAAAGGAAACTTTTTTTTAGGCTCATGGAAAAAATTATTCATTTTTTAAAATAAAATTATTCTTCATTAGAACTTTCTGCTGCTGGTACCAGCATAAATATTTTTACTCTCTCAGAATATATGACTTCATGTTGTTGAATCCTAGAATAATTATATTATCACTTTGCTAAATCATAGAATAATTGTGTATTAAATGCTATAAAAATATTTGCATTTTCCTCTTTGAAAGAGATATCTGTATCTCCTCTTTCATTTGATTTCCATCTTTGTGCTTTTCTTATGTGGCTTAATCTGATTATATGGCTCTGATTTACATTTCCATAATTTGCATTTCTTATCACAGTTGGACATTTTTTTTTCTACTTTTTTATTCATGCTCTAAGAACCTTTGAGACCAAATTTCATTTTATAAAATATGTCACTGACATTGTAGTGTAAGACTTTCACTGTGTAAATCTCAGTTGCTGTAGAAAGTGACGAATCTTAAGAACTAGATAGCGAATAATCGCTTAAGCTTGTGTGACAAGAAACAACAAGATAGAAGGGTAACTAACCCTTTATTATTCCAATAAGATTTAACAAAACTCTGCCTTGGAGTGCACAATCAAAGCCAACACTTGGGCTTGAACTTAAGAGACTAAGAATTAAACTAAAACTAAGATTAACTAAAGAAATATAGCCGAAGTTATCAAGTTTCTAATCCAATTGGCCCCTTAAACACCAGATGACTGCGAAGCTATCAAGGGCCTGAGTATGGCTGAGCGTAATAACAGCTTTGAGAGAGAGAGTAGCCAAAAGGCAGACGCGTGTAAATTCAGAAACTCTGATTTTCTCTCCCCAAGACCAAAAAACTTCACTATTAAATACCGCTCTTCCTCATTATGAATTCGGACGTGATTCTAAAACTACGTTCTAGCCAGAAATAGTAAGTTGAAGTTAAGAATTTGACAGGAAAGAAACTTTAACTTAAAATTTAACTGTTAATAAAATTAACATAATCCTTACAGTAGGAATATAGTAAAAGTTCCAAAGTATCTCGTGCTGCATTTAGCCTGGAATTGTTTTGTAGGCCAGTTTATTTTCTTGCTACAAAAACCACTTGTGATGATGATCACAACTGTAGACTTTTCTTTTAAGATGATAATCACTTTAAAATCTGGTAGTTTGGAATCTCTGCTATTATAGCATTAATGCTACAGAATTAATCTCTTTTTTGTATCCTTTTTTTATCATGTAATTTTAAACATTTTAAAGACTTTTTATTGATAGAACTTGAAAGCTTTTTCCTTCAGACTATTAATTCAAGTTTCATTTTCTTTTTAATCATTCAGTCAATTTTAATCACAATTCAGTAGGATTTAGGGTTTGTGCAGTCCTTAGGTTTTTTTGGAAACAAATTTTGATCCTTCAAAGTCCTTAATTTTAATCAGCTCGCTTTTTTCTTAACAGCTACTCTTTTGAGTGTGAATTAGCATTTTGGAGAAATATTTTTTGGCAATTTACTGACAAATAGGCATTTGATGGGTTATCTTTTGAATTCTTTCCTACTTCTGATACAAACGGTGCCATACTTGAGTTTCTGGGCAAGAGGTGGAACATAAAGCATTTCAAAATTTTCTATGAAATTTTCTATTCTGAATTTTTCCTTTTTTCAAAAACAAAAAAATTTTTAAAATCAAAAGTATTCTGGCTTTGAAAGGTTTAGAAGTATTTGAAGGCAAGATTTTTAGACCTGTGATTCCAGAAAATTTAAAAAATATGTGACAAAATGATAAATGTCTTCACGGTATTAAAACATAATGGGCATATTTTACAGGAAGTTTGTGATGAATTTCCTATTTTCTGGAAAATTTTTAGAACTATGAGTATAATATAATTATTTGAATTTTCTAGAAGTTTTTTTTTTTTTTTTTTTTTTTTTTTTTAATTTATGTTTATGTTTATCTTCTTTTTCTCTTCTTTTCACTAGACACAAGCATAGAAATTTGTAAAAATGGTTCTAATCTTGTTCCATGAACAGGCATCTGTGGAAAGGAATTTTTTAATTAATAAAGAAAACGACAATTTACTCCAATATGTCTATTCTGTATCTGTCTATTCTATATGATTCCTCCAATATGTCTCAATGTCTATACTGTCCTCTAATATGTCAATACAAAGGTTGGTGCTAAGCATTTTCCCACCTGATGCAATCTGCAGGTCCTAAATTCTGTTGCCTAGTTCCTCCCTCAATTATAAATTTTTTTCTACTCCTAAATTCTGTTTCCCAGTGCATGCCCTGAATTCTAAAATTTTTCTATTCTTCTATCCCTAGATTTTTTGCTCTATGCTTCACTAAATTCTAACATTTCTGCCACACTGGCTGTGGTACTATCCTTGATCATATGCCATTTCATATTTATTCTTGGTCCTGATATTACTAAAGAAATAAAATTAGCAGTTTCTTCTATACATTTTAAATACATGCAGTTTTTTAGAATAACAGAAATCTTTAATTGATTGAAAAGATCCTTGCTAAAGAAGCTGAAAGTGGCAATGAACTTTAAGAGGACTCTAAACAGACATAGCAAAGCAAAGACCTTGGCTGCGAGTCATTTTGGTATTGGAAATGTTGATTTTCTCCTGTTGCCATATCATCCATAATGACCTGAATTTTTATTTATGTAAGGTGCCGGTCAAGTAGCAGCAAGACAAGCCCAGAGGCTGTTAGTCAGAATTTAAATGGAGCTTAGCATGTCCTTATGTGCTTAAAATTTGATACAATGAAAGAAAAACACTTTGAAGAAAATTTGTCACAAACTTTCTGGGAATCATCAGCCAACTTTTTGATTCTAAACATCAGGATATCATGTGAGGCACATTCTTAACTACCTGCACTTGCAAACATATTTTGATAACCGGCATGTGAAAATCCATTCCACATGCATAAAAATTTATTATGAGGCAAACATGTAAGTTACTATGTAACATTGTATTTTGATATCATTGACTTGTATTTGTTTCAGAAAACTTACAGTCATGCCATTTTTAGCTAATGAAACTTACCATATGTGGCTGATGCTAGAATTTTTACAGCTGAGTAACAATTTGTGAGGTTCTTAAATTCTGTTGTTTTTAAACTCCACCACCGAATGCAGCTATATTATTTGTACCAGTTTTGACACCAGCCTTCTTGATAAAACTACCGATTAACTTTCATTTTGCAAAATGGCCATATAAAATCTACTGCATACATGGTTCAAAACAGATAGGATGATTGCCTACCAGCTGACGGTTTTCAAGCAATATGTGTTCCCAATTATTTGATTTTAAGATTTCAGAAACTGAGACATGATTGTGTGGTCACTAGATTGTATCTACTACTGGACTACTTTTCTTGGGGGGTGGGTATGTAAAGAGTATTGCATTTGCCATTATATCCTTAATCACTGGCTGACAATAAGAATTAGATACAATATACTGTGAGAAGATTCCATTTGACAATTCCGGGTGATGTAATTCAGGCGTTTATCTGATGCTTGAAAGGAATGTGTTGCATGTGATGATGGTCATTTACCCATTTTTTCAGAAAATGATTTGATATTCATGATACTAAAAATAACATACATTTATTTATCTGAATAAAATTTTCCATTCTTAACATCATGTTACCATGTTTATATCTAATGTACATTCTATGTAGTATTGTAATTACAGTTTTAATGCTCAAGCAAATGGTGGTTTATTCATATTTTTGGTCTTTAATGAAATTTGTGTAATTAATTCAAAGTTTCTATTAAATTTTGTTTTAGTTGCAGATTGTCACCAGTTGTCAGCAAAGCAAGTTCTGGTGCTCTTGAAGTTATCAATATATATCAGATTAGGATACTTGAAGATTTCATAAAGGTTATTATTTAGATGCTAGTGAAGTGACATATAAAATAATTTGAATTTATTGGTCAAAAGAGTTTATTATCTATTTTTCTTTTTAATTCTGATAGACTAGAAAAACAGAAGGATGGTGTATTGTTTGTACTACAGCGTACTGTGATGATAAAGAAGAAAATACAGAATCCACTTTCCCAGTTGTAGATGTTTCAGAATTCAGTCTATCTAAACCTACAATTCTAATTTTAGGTACACAATATATTTATAAAATATGAACTTTTATAATTTATATATTTAAAAATATTTTAATACATTGTCATATTAAATTCAGAATTAAATGCTTATGAACATTATGTGATTTTGGCTGATCCATTGTGCCTTAAAGAAAAGGAAATTTTATACAATCTACTAATGATATTATGCTTATGGTGATTGAGATTACTGCTTTATATTTTAGTCCTCTTTGTTCATTCCATACTATTGATTTAAGCTGAGTTATTTTATCTTTTGGTTATTTAATAAATATATAAATAAATATGCTCTTTATGAACAAGCTAAAGCAATTTAATTATTCTTCACTATTGTCAGCATTAACTTGGCAGTTTCTATTATCTGTTAATTGCTGAGACAGTTTATTAATCATAAAAAATAAAGGATTAAAATAGGCAAATTGCAATAAAAATTATTTTTTCACAGACATTATAAAATACTAAGGCTAAAATTTCAAAAAAGGTAGCATTATAGTTTCAAACAAAATTGTATAGAGAAAATTTTACAGTAAAATTGCTATACATGTTCATTAATAATGCAGTGTAAAGTTCCTTAAATAATTAATTGGGTAATTTGTAAAATTTCATGTACCAGTAGGATTCCATATTGCATATAGATACAGTATAGAATTGTATACGTATATATAGAATCCTATATATGTATATATATATATATATATATATATATATATATATATATATATAATTTAAAGAAAAGTAGAAATGTAAAAAGTGTATATATATATATTATGTATCTTTGGGCTGTTACAATATATGGTACCATATTAAATTGAAAATTAAAGCACTCTAGGAAAAAGAGAAGCTATTTTTTATTTATTGTGTTGCAGCTAGAGATTGTTTTGGATTAATTTTAAATATTTACTTTATGTAATAAAAAGCAAGCCAAAAAGATATAATGTAATCATTTTTAATTCTAGCCTTGACTTTTATGCATATTATATTTTTGTTTGAGTTTTTGTTTCCCCCCTATCAAGTTTAGTCACAAAAGCTGACAAACTTAGTTTCCTAAACTGTGTGTAAATTTCAAATATTGCCAAAGACTTATGCAGTGCTTATACTAATTAGAAAGTACCATATAAGGCTAAAAATAGATCTTCATTGTCAGCTGCCTGCAACTGTTGGTGGTGCTGAGTGGGATCTATCATGACAACAACATATAACTAAAGATCTAATTTATGTTTCTGTATGATCTTGTATTTATCTGGTATTGCATTATAACATTAAATGCACTTATATTTGATTCAAGAATATCTTTCATTTGAAAGCGTTTAATATGATTTTCATCAATAAATTTGTGTTTTCAGCACCCTTTTTTTTTTTTTTTTTTTTTTTTTTAATTTTGATCTATTTTTAAATATAAAATTTTATTACTTAGTTAATATAAATCAGGAAGGAAATATATATAACACAAACAAATATAAGTCAGGAAACATAAAGATTGTACTTTATTTTTTAAATAAAAGAGCATGCTTTATTTTTGATAAATGCATTTTAATTTAGTACGCCTATTCTACGCTCCGAGAATCGGCATCAGTTTGTGGGCCGTCAGATGTCGCTGCTAGTGAAAAACAGGTCTGCCCGACATCCCATTTTCTCTGAGTACCGAAGTCGTCGTAAATGTGGGGGAAAAGTGTTGCCACGTCGTCAATCAGGCTTGTCCAGTTGACATTCTAAGTAGACAAAGGCTTTGTATGTGTTTTCACCACTAATTTTTTTGTATCTAAATGAAGAATACGGTCGTAGATATTTGAATCGGCAGATTTATAGAAAATATGCTGAGGCTTTTGCTCTGCTAGAAGATAATTTCATTGCATATTTCAGATTGCCAAAATTTATAGTTATTTTAATTTGCGATGAACTGAGAGAGTATTTGGAGCCATATTCAGAAAACAAGATCACAATTTCTACTGAAAGAAACGTTATTTATACTTTTCCTGAAATTATAGGTATATATTGTAATTATATAGTTTAGAAATGTAGAAGATAATAAGTATTTATCTAGGACATAATCCTTCTTCAGTTAATAAAAATATAGACATCCGAGAAGCGTCTACTTGATTTATGTACAGCAAGAATTAAGTTTGTTTTAAAATATTACAGTGGAATACCTTACAAACAATATTGTGAACACTAAGGAATGTCGTTCATTATTATGCAAAATTCAACCTACTGTAAAATAAAAATGGGGGAGGGGGAATTATAAAATATAATATAACTATAAAATATAATATATATAATATTTTTTCAGTAGTAATAGTACTACTAGTGTGATACTTTTAAAAATAGTTTTTAGCCCAAAGGGCCTAACCCAGAAGGGCTATTAATTTCGTTATACCATTTTGTGGCATTTCAGTTTTCAAATTTTTGCCACCAAATATTATCGCCGAAATTAAATAATGAAGAGTCTGCATAAATGTATAAATGTTTCTTGCATTGTGAAAAAACAACAGTACCTACAGACATCAAATTTTGAATAACATAGACCTTCACTTGAATATGGTCATCTAGAAGCCCAAATTCGGAACTGGAAATTTGTTTTATTACCTTTTCATATTTTGTAAAGCATTTATGAATGTTTGATTAAGAAACTGAATGATCTCAAAGCGAGTAATGGCAACACTGTACGGGCGGGGGTGAAGAAAAGAGCAAAAAAACATTTTCATCTCTAGCACGCGAGATTGTGTATCGGAAATTCTAAAGATATGCTCTTTTAAAATTATATAATATTGCTGTTGAATTGAATTTTATGGTTTAAATGCAAAGAACATAATATTTAATAAATAAAGGTAACATGCAAAACGTTAAAAAAGTACTCCTTTGGACATAATATAATCTGAAGGCCTTTCAGATTTTTTTTTCTGTGTGTGTGTAATTTTATTACGATTTAAAACTGGTTTCTAAGGGAGGAATTTCTGATGGAAACTGGCTGGCTTGTATACACGTTACACATGGGGAAAGCCACGAAAACGCTGATGCGCCCAACCCGTTCGCGGGATTTGAACCTCTGACCAAATTACCTGTGTTCAGCCACTCTACCGCTCAGCCGCTGTTGGGCTTATTAGCAGCTGCTTGTACATGAAATGGTACTTTTGTAATCCATTAGTATTTAAAAAAAAATTTTTTTTCAAACTCTAAAGCAGATTCTCATTTTTATATTGTAAAAGAGATATTGAGTATTATTACAGTTTTTTTATTTAATGTGTCAAAGTGTTAAAATGCTGGTTTGACAAGAACTTCTTCAACTGCAGGAGACCTACATTGATTATTTTTACTTTAGTACTTCCATTGTGAAAATAATATTACTATCTGTATAAATTATTTTCACAGAATAAAATCTTTTGAGAAGGAAGAATATTTTAAAAAAGCAGTTCTTATATATATAATAAACTAAAATAACAGCAATGCAATATTAAAGAAAGTATTACTAATACATATATGACAAAAATTGCAATACGAATTAATCACACATACAGAATAAATTATTATGATTTTGGTTATATATTTTATATTGAAAAATTATTTTCTTTCATGTTAATTACAGAATAAATTATTTAAAATAAAACATGTATGATAGCTGAATGCAGCAGTAATCAGCCATACTCTAATAAAGAAATTAATTTAATTTCTTTTCCTGAAAGGAATAATTTTCATAGAAACAGAAAATAAAAGAAAGGAAGAAACACTAAGAAATAAATATTTTCCTTCTAATTTCTTACTTAAAGAAATATTTACTGTAAAATAAATTGCATGAAAACACAGTTTTAATGTAAGTACGAAAAAAGAAAAAAATAATAAAATAAAAAAAAAAAAAAAAGTTTGCTATTAGATTGCAATGCAAATTAATCATAGTATAAATTTAAATGATTAAAATTGTTTATTTCTAAAAAGTTTTTTGTTGATTTTTGTTGATTAAATAAGCTTAATTCATTTACTCTTATCTATTTCATGGTATCCCACATTTCTTTATTTTATTTTATCCCTAAATTCCTGCGTTAGCTTTCGGGGTAGTTAAAAAAAAAAAAAGAAACGGGATTTTCTTTCACATAACAAAGCAGCATGTTCTGCTGCGCTTTGGTCATAATACTGTTTTGTGACATTTTTTCGAACTACAAATGCAGCGTGTGAGTTAGTGAAATCATGAGAGAATATTTCTAGAAATTCAGCCAGCGCGCGCTATAAATTTCGTCACTCGTCTGTATTGTGATTGGTCTAAAGTTCCTTGAAGGCCCCTTTCAATAAAGTCAAATGGACCAACCCGCACACCAACTGAGGACCACAGAATCACTTTCTCCATTAAGTCAAAGACGGCTGTTCATACTAGTTTGAGTCAATATTGTTTGCTCAAGTAGTAGACAAATCCAGTGATTGTAGAATAGGTTCCCTGAATTGAAGTATTCTGAAAGGAAGAGTATATAAACACATACACAGTATGGGATTTGAAAGGAGCAAGCAGTAAACCAAATAACTAAAATAGAAACTGCCTTTTTGTTGATTTTTTTAGTCCAAGAAATTAGATGCTTTTTAATATACTAAAGAAGATTCAGTTTATTGTATGTGGTTTACTGATATCCAAGAAGAGCTATTTATATGATCCAGTTCAATCAATTTATTGGTCTAAATTCAGATTCAGTTAATATATTTCAGCAGAAAGTAGTCTTAGTGAATGGGCTGGCTGCATGAGTAATTTTATGGTTTTTTCTATGTATAACAAGTACTCCATAAAAGCATCTCTTCCCGTAAGTAAATAGACCTCACATGCTTTGTTTAAATTGTTAATCAAGCAGGAACTATTTTAACATGTTTTCTAACATAGGTTAAAATACTTATTTAAAAAACAATATATGAAATTAGCTTTTTGAACCACTGTAATAAATTTTATGTTTATAACATATTGATATTTTTAGCAAGAGTAGTTGTATGAATATTTATTTTAAATTATTTTAGGTAATGAAAGCAAAGGGGTATCATCTGCTGTTAAAAAACTCTGTGATAATTTTATTTCCATTTATCCTAAGCAAGCACTACATAAAGGAATCGATTCATTGAATGTATCTGTTGCAGCAGGTAAAATCTTGACCTCTGATCTATTATTGAGTAGCACTATTATTTCCTTATATCCCAGGATCAACATTTAAAAATAATCTTCATTATTGAATCACCGGGTATATCTATCAGCTAATAACAGTATTTTTGTTTAAACTGTTGATAGTAATATTCTTGATAACTCAATCAGTTCTTAAAAATATTCATGATTATAAAATCGGGATTTAAAAATAATCTTCTGTCATCAGAATTGTTAAAAGTACTTCATTCTGTAAAATAAAAGTATTTATAAAATTTTGTGGGGCACCTTAGCTAATTTTGTTATGACTGTCTTTTGGTACTATCTCTTGGTAAGGTTAGCTAGTTCTATGTTATGACTGCCTTTGTGTCCATGATGATGTTAAAATGATTTTGGGGTCAAACTAAAGTCTGCATAGAAACCAGTCAAACAAAATTTAAAGTACCTTTATTACTTCTCAAGATGGTTTTCTCAAACTAGATAAAAATTAAAGTACCTTTATTACTTCTCAAGATGGCTTTCTCAAACTAGATATAAATCCTGCAAGCTAAAATATAATTCTTTAAAACATGAAATGTATTCGATATGAAGTATGACAAGCTAATGATATTTACATTAAGCTTCTTACAAAAGTCGATTTTTTTTAAATTAAATTAAAAATTTCCAAACTGTGTTTCTCCCATTTTTCTCATTATTATTTTTTTTAAAAGAGGAAGAAAGCATTGAAACCCCAAATCATAATTTTCAACTTAGTAATTATTTGTTTTTATTTAATAATGCTACAAATAATATTTTGGATAAATTTCAATTTATCCAAAATACTCTTTGTAGCATTATTTGGTTTGCCATCTTCTACTTTTGAAAAATACTTATAGAATGAGGAGAGAAAGAAATTATTCACAATCATTAGAAAGATGATTAATAAAAATGTCTTAAAATATTTCTGAGTGTTGAAATAATTCAAAATCTTACCTACCCTCAGGGGCTCACTTTTGTGAGTACGGGTGTGGCAATCCCTAGGTACCCTAGCCCTTCAGGAGATCATCTTCTAGGTAAGACGGTTTTCACGATCCTGGAGCCCCTGTGATCTTTCCTTTTTTTCCGTCTCCTCTCCTCTGAGTTGATACTTTTTCCTTTGCATTCTCCCTTGTGGTTTCCTCTTCGGAGGTTGGGGACTTGTCACGAGAAATTGGAACAGCCCTTGTCTCTAGTTTTCGAGTGGCGAGAAAACTGCCCACGTGTTTGCCATGTATGGAGACCCATGTCATTGGAAAGGAGGATCCTGGTAGTTGAGGGGTGAGGTACTGTCCCCAATACACTACTTTGGCCTCTGCTTCAGCTAAATAGGAGGCACCTTAGTCGTCCTCACGGGTGTCAATCGGCTAGTCACTAGTCCTCTTGTCAGTAGCTTGGGGATAAGTTCTCAGGAGTATAAGGTACCTGCTTTTGGGAAAGCTGACTGTGGGTTTCAGTTTGCATATAGGTCTGGCTAGCCCTAGCACAGGATTCTGTGTTCACTTGTTGGGTTCTATGGTAGGCGGGGCCGTTTAAATCTGGTAAGATGGCATGCAGAAATTATACAATTAAAAATATGAAACTGTAATTTATGAAATAAAGAGCAATTATGATCTAAAGGGTATCAAAATTTACCAAAAAAAAAAAAAAAGCTTAATATTTATTTGTTTACTTTATTAAACATTTCTTTCAATGTATGCTGTTTAAGTTGCTTCATTTTTTGTGCTAGTACTTTCTCTTTAATTCTATAAACAGACATGATTTCTTATTCAGTTACAAAGTTCCATTGTTCAAGTCCTGTAATTGGGGTCGAGAATACCGACTAACTTGTCAATCGAAATTTTTTCTTTTTCAATAACCTCTCTGTCACTTTCTTCACTATCGGAAGCGGTATTTTCTGGATCTAGAACCATACTACAGATTTTGCCATCCGTTAATTCATTGATGATTGGGACATTGTCATCACAATGAAAAACTTCTCTTGCATCATCTTCATTTATTACCGCTTCTCCACATTTCTTTACAAAATCCAATAACTGGAAAATTTCAGCTTTAGTTTGCGATGTCCGAAAACTTTCATATTCATGGCTATCATCTTCATCGTTCTCACCATGAAATATGGCAGCTGGTCATAAATTATGCCAAGCATTTTTTAACGTATCTGGAGACACATCCTCCCACGATCTTGTGATGCTCCACACAGCAGATTTTATGCTAAAAAATTTCAAAATGTCTTGAATAGTCTTGCTATTGTTCAAGAAATTTAACATAGATTTTAAAAATGCTACTTTATATTTGCATTTCAGCACGTGCACTATTTCCATATCCATAGGCTGAATGATAGATGTACAATTTGGAGGGAAGAATAATACAGATACATTATCTTTCACTAAAACTTTAAGTATGCACCCAACAGTTGTCAACAATCAGGACTATTTTTGAGTGATCAGGTAAACCAACCGAATTTAAATGTCGCCGAGCCTCGGGTATAAAATGATTTTCAAACCAATCATTCATCAATGCTTGTGTCATCCACGATCTTTTATTTGCTGGATATATAATGGGGAAAATCGTTACTCCTTTAAATGTACAAGGTTGTGCATGTTTTCCGATTACAAAAAATTTGCACTTGTGTGTTCCTGCAGCATTTGCGCATGCTAAAATTGTTAGTATCGCTTTGGAATCTTTGACACAGTTGGAGCCTTTTCTGTAGAGGTTGCCAAGGTATTCCACGGTACATATTGCCAGAAAACACCAGTTTCATCAGCGTTGTAAATTTGTTCTGGAGATAATTGGTCACTAGTAACGAGTTCAATGATTTCATATGCATACAAAAAAAAGTTTGTGGCTTTGAGGCCCGGATTATAGATCATTCCGGATAATGGACGTCCGGATTACGGACTTTGTACTGTATATATAATCAAAGACTTTGAAGTCAGTCCCGTCACTCTAAGCAACAATTCTTAGCAATCTACTGCTAAAAAAGCAGGGCTGTGGAGTCGGTAGGAAAAATTATAAGGTATTTCTCCCGCCTTCCTAGCGTGCCTTCGTGGTGTAGTGGTTCTGCATGCTGGGCTGGTATTCCAGAGGTCCGTGGTTCGATTCCCGGCGAAGGCATTTGCTAATTTTTCATCTTGTCTGCTTCCAAAATGCCTAATGTCTCTACAGTGGCGCTCGAACTAAAAGGGTTATTGGATGATGATTCTCCGCACCCAGATTTGGCGACTGGGCCCTTTAAAAGGGGTCGCCCTTTTAAAAGGATAACCCCAGTCGCCCTTTAAAAGGGGGAGTATATAAGGTATTTCTCCGCCTTCCTAGCGTGCCTTCATGGTGTAATGGTTCTGCATGCTGGGCAGGTATTCCAGAGGTCCGTGGTTTGATTCTCGGCGAAGGCGTTTGCTAACTTTTTCATCTTGCCTGCTTCCAAAATGCCTAATGTCTCTACAAAATGACTGACTCCTGGAATTTTAATGACTCTCTCATTCATATATATTATATATATGTGTGTGTGTGTAAACATATACACATAGGATACAGCTTATTTTTTAATATACAAGAAGTAATAGATGCTATAGGGAAAAAAATTGATGGCATAGATTCGATTTGATAAACTTCAGAGATGAGAAGAGTCTTTCCACATTAACTTGAGTAGGAGGAAGAGCTGTTACTGTTAGGGCTACTACTTTTAATTTTTCAGGATAGATTTTTTATAAGTTCTAAAAGAGGTGTCTTGCAAGCACAATCATATTTCTCTATTTCTTCAAAGGCCATGTAGAAATCTTGTTTGCATTTTTTTTTTCATTTTGATATCTAAAGGCTCTTGTTTTTTATTTTCATTAGCTTTGCCTTAGCCTTTTCAATATTATCCAAAAAATTTCTCAAAATCTAATTCATCAATGGAAAAGGATGATAGAGACTCATTTGCAGTATCCGAAGTTTGACTGTACTGATTCGAATTCTCCAATTGTTCTGAGAATAATTTCTTTTTTAAAAGTTCATAGGTGGCTTTCTTTGCCTTTTTAATTTGTTCGTCATCCAAGAAAATTCGGAATTTCAGATTTACATATATTGAACCCAGCAAGATCTCATTGTCTAGCAAACTATTTTCTCTTTTCTTCATTGAAGAAATGATTCCTTCTGCAATAGACGCTCCATTTCAGAAAGAACAAACTTCACATTCGTCCATTCTCACCTCCTGTCAATTCTTCAAATTGCAGCTTTTTTGTGGCTATATACAGTGTAGAAAGAAGAGTTTCCAATTCTGCAAGATCATTCCACAGTCTTTGTGTTAGTGAAACATTATGGTTATCTACATCTCCTAAAAAAGTTCTTAATTCTAAAAACCTCTTTATCATCAAATATGTCCTTCCTTATCGCATTGCTTGATCAATAATTTCTCCTTTTCCTGCTACTTCCTAAGAATGGCATCAATTTTGGGAGTTCTTGCTGCTATTAATGCTTAAATAAATTTACCAGTGAGATTTGTAACAACAGTATTTGAGTAAATGAAGTAACTAAATAAATAAGTTTAATCACTAATGGCAAATATCACATCCATTCTCCTCCCTTATATTTATTTATTAATAGGTCAATAAAATAGAAAATAACTATTTATTAATGTGTACAGTCCATAAATTAAAATAATAACTCAGCTTGTCATTAATTTTTTTCAATTTATTTAAATTTCATTTCAGATTTAAACTGCCCAATGAAAACTGGGACATGTTGGAGTCGACCTGTTTTTAGCGACTCCAGCTCCAACACCTTTTACACCAAAGTTTTCCTGACTCCACAGCCCTGTAAAAACATGCGTCCCGGTGCAAATGCAAATAATCCTAACAATTGTCCCCATTTCGTTGTAGACTCAAGTCCATCTAGCAAAATCCAAAAGATATCACAATTTGTAATTCGCAAGTATATTCATTCCTCCATTCATGAGTAAGAAACATAAAGCGTTTCTGGTCTGGAGATTTGCTTATCGAGACAATTTCGGCTATACAGTCTGCCTCCCTCTTACGATTAACCAAGTTAGGGCAAATTGATGTAACTGTATCAGCACATACAACACTTAATTTTTGTAGAGGCATAATGTCGGAAGTTGACCTTCTGTCTGTTTGTGAAGAAGAGTTCTTTTCGAGCTAGCCTATCAAAACGTCAGTGCTGCCAGGCGCATCAAGATGCGTAAGGAAGGTCAGTTGGTTGACACGAAACACACGATCCTGTCTTTGGCCTGATCTGCCTAAGGATGTATGCCTCAATTGTCCTGTACAATCATACATTCCAAACCCAATGCAATGTTTCCAATGCCAGTGTTTTGGTCATTCTAAGATCTCATGCTGTGGCAAACTCACATGTCCATGTGCACGTTGCACTATGGTTGGCCATGGTAGTGACACATGTACTGCTGCCCCGCTGTGCATAAATTGCAAGGGTGAACATGTAGGTTTCTCATGCTCATGTCCCAAATGGAAAGCAGAGAAGGAAGTTCAGGCTGTTAAAATTGCGAGGAATATATCATTTGCAGAAGCCAGAAGGATAGTCGAAGGCAACCAACCACGAACAAGGATGCTTTTTGCTAGTGCTGCCAAATCAACGCGATCTGTCGGTACCCAAACCTCAGTTAGTACACAAACACGAGCACCTAAAACCCAACCCACAGTGAGCAAGCCGAAAACAGACAAACCGACCCTCGATATACATAAAACAGAAATAGTAATCCCAAATAAATCAAAAAAGCAAAAAGCAAACAAAGAAGTATAAGTAATAGTTCATTTGATAAAATAATTTCAGACTCCTTTGATTCAGATAACATGGAAGTAGAGCAAGGGCTAGAAATTCCCAAACTTCTACTTCCACGCAAAACCAAAACGCAACACAGAAAGACTAAACACCATTCATAAATGGCCACTCTCATATCATGGAACTTTCGTAGTTTCCACCAAAATCTCATTCACATCAAACACCTGATCAATATCTGTCATCCTGTGTGCTTGGCAGTTTAGGAAACTCTGTTGAAACCAGAACATCAGGTTAAGCTACGGAGGTATAGTTCAAACAGGAAAGATAATCCTGATGGCAATCGTGTCTGTGGAGGTGTAGGAGTTGTAGCGTCACTTGACTACCCCTCCAGCTATATCTCATTACATACGAGCCTCCAATGAACCTTTCGTACAGTCCTTCTATTGCTGCATAAAGGTCTGATGAGTTGGATTTATGTGGAAAAATCAACGATTTGTGTCCTACTCACTTAATTTTCCAAAGGGAGCTTCCAAAAGAACATATCATCTATTTATCTGGAAACTGAATTTAAGTTCCACAACCCTATTGATGAGTTAGTGAGTTATCACTATGTCTTAAATAGTATGACAGACTTGTGAAGGTTTAATGACCTTTCCATTTATTTAATCTAAACTTTTACCAAAAGGCACGACTTGTATTACTGACTAAAAATCACTACTCGTGGCTGAATTAAACTAAGCAATAAAAGTTAAATAAATTTAAATGTTGATAACATAGTTAAAGACTGTACTTTTAATAACATAAGCTACAAGCTGATGCAGTTATTTTTACTGGCACGCAAGTTTGAAGTATTGGCTGCAAGAGAGTCCAAAAGCTTGAATAATCACTTCCAGAGATAGAGCTGGTGGAATTCTAATAGTGAGGTTCAAGTGCCAGAAACTTTGTCTCAGATTCAAAAACCTCAGTTTATATACTCTAAAAGCAAATCTGTGTTCTGGTGTGGAATATGGAAAAAAAAAGAAGTTAAGAGTACAGATCAGAATCATAATAATTGGTTAATACAGAGAACCTTACAGTGTTCAGTAGAGCCTAGAAGAATTTGGCTGTGTAACTGTTTGCTGGCGATTTGCTTTTTCATGAAAGATCTCATTTCCTTCAATACAGTTTTATAGTTTGGAGTGGAATTATAAAAAATGGCCGCCTTGAGCGGCATATCTCTGAGGGAGGTCCTAGAACTGGTTACTATATGTGAACAAAATCTTGGAACCCCTTAGAAGCTGTAAAGGAGTGCTGTTCATAAAAACTGTTAAATGCATGTTTCACTTTTCATTTAAGTCTGTTGCCATTTAGGAAAATGTAAGGTATTTATCTTACTAATTGAATCTTTCTGTTATTGATTAAGAAACTAAGCTGTTTCAAAAGCAATAGATGCAGTTCTTAAGAATATATATATTTTTTTACTTTTTAATCTGGTCCATTTAAATAAAAATGCATTTAATTCATGATAGGACTTGTAGAGACATTAGTTTTTTTTTTTTTTTTTTTTTTTTTTTTTTTTTTTTTTTGGTGTGTGTGTGAAAGCAGGCAAGATGAAAAATGAGCAACGCCTTCGTCGGGAATCGAACCACAGACCTCTGCACGAACCACGTGCCCAGCATGTAGACCATTACACCACGAAGGCATGCTAAGAAAGTGGGAGAAATACCTTGTAGACTAATTAAAAACATTTTTTCATTTTTCAAGTATACAGAAGATATATAATGTTCCCATATTAATCTATATGTGTATTATCTGGTATCCTGTAAAATGTTTTGCTATTCTACCTGGGCCATCTCTATTGATAATCTCCATTGGTAAAGCAAATTAAACTTTAAAAGAGCCTTTTGGAGCAACTCTTACAATCTGAACACTTTCTGATCTTTTTTAACATCCTGTTTTTTTAGGGTAAGTTGCTTAAACAATTTTATTTTATGTGGCTATACCTTCCCTTTAATTTTATAGTGAGACATAATTTCTTGTTCAGATACAGTTTCATTTGTCAAGTCTTATAACTGCTGTCTTGAGAATTCCCATAAGAAGTGAATCTCAACTGAAATCTTTTCACTTTTAATAACTTTTTTCATGATCACTGGCAATATTTTCTAGATTTAAAACTATATTACAGGTTTCACTGTGCATTGATAGACTGATGATTGGGTCATTGCCTTTGCAATAAAGATTTCAGCTATAAGAAACTGCTTTTTTTTTATTGGCATATTTCCTCAGTGCAATTCATCACTAGTTTATTTAACCTGTTGCTTTTTACAACTATATTTTTCATTCAGTTGTCTTTATAAAAAATGGTCCATTTTGTAAAAGGAAAGAATGGTGGGAAAAATAAACAGTTCTAGGCCATGATTGTTTATGCATCATCCATTCGGCCTACATGCAGTTTTTATTTATACAACAGTCTTAGGTTATCAGTATGACTGGTGCCCTGTATAAATAAAACATATTCATAATTCAAAGCAATGTACCTTTATTTATTTGTCATTTTTCAGAACAACTTAACTGGTGCCCTTGAAAAATTGACAAAATAGGCATCTGCCAATGTAGCTTATGCCTATGTAAGACTCAAATAATTTAGCAAATGTTATGGAATCAAAATGCACCTCAGCCAAATGTGAACACACACCATTTTAAAGAAAAACTTGTTGCAAAAAAAGGAGATTATCACTTCCATCATATGAAAATTTCCATTAATTTGACTGTAATATTTTGAGATTAATTGACTGGCAAACATAATTTATGTTAAATAATATTGTATAATTGTATAAATTGTTTTTAATCATTTTTGAGTAAGTTTTTTTACTGTTAGTATCTCTTTAATTTTGATGAGCAGTGTATTTTATAATATGTTTGTTCTCAGTCAAAGTAAGCTGACTGCATGTGATTTTATGATTTTCTCATATTTAATGTAAATGCGTCTTTTAAGCTATATTATGTAGAACGTTTTGAGGCAAACATTCAGTTTTTACATACTACTTGATAACATGTAACTGTATTTGTATTACATATAAATATATCAATAGTTTTCCACAATAATCAGCATTTTTGTTTATAATTAACAATAAACTGACAGAATAATCATATGAAATTTATATGTTTATTATAACATTTTAAAATAATAAGTTGTAAGTGAATAAAATTATACATATTTGTCTCTTCTACTATCAAGAAAATGAGAGAAATATACATACTAGCAAAAGTTGAGAAAGTAAATTATACCACAAATATATGATTTTTATTTATAAATTCTGTTTTTTCTTTTATATTACAATCTACTTAGATTTCGGTTTGGATAAGACCAAAGTTATTTGCCAAAGAGAAAGATGCCGTTGTGAAAAACGTTTAAAGGAAATTGATCCGTATTCAAGTTATGCACGAAAGAAACCTCACGCAACGAGCATGTCTAACTGTTGGGAATATACTTTGGGGCAATTTATAAGTGTTTCATAGTTTTAGTCATTTGACCTCTGGTTGTATGTATTTAAGATTTTATAACACACCTTTTATCAAACATTTATCACCTTTGCAAACAGATTTTTAAAATATTGATTAAGAAATATTTTAACTATATTTAAAATTCAGGGAAATTTTGCTTTTTAATTTGAAATTGCTTTAACTAAAATTATTTCTTGTTTTTCTTTCCTAGGTGTAATATTACATTCTCTTTCACAGTCTGCTAGCATTAAAAGGTGATAGATTGAAAGACGGGAATTATCTATGCATTTCATGAAAAAAATTGGTGAAGTTTTGTTCGTTACTTATAAAAGAAAGCCATACCTGAAAAATATTTTTAAATGGTATTTTTTTTTTTTTTTTTAATTTAGCTGTTTTGCTGCAGTGGACTTATAAATTGAAAGAAAATTAAAAGAATAAGACTAGCAATGATGATTTTTAAATCTGCGATATAAGAAGTGCTCCATCACATGTGTAAAATGGAAAATTGTTATCATTTTACTCAAGCCTAAACAGTTATTGCTATACTGGATTTCTGTTAAGTAAGATTTTTCTACATCTAAGCTGCCATTAAAATTTACATCATTATCTCATTATTTCTCAATGTCAAATTATAAAGTATTTCAGTTTATTGAATATGAATATTTTTTCTTTAGAGTTACATATGTTTAGATATATCTATGTAATTAATTTTCATATTGCATTTAAAAATTTGAAAAATGGTTTTAAATCAAACATTTATCACCTTTGCAAACAGATTCAGCATGCATTTTCTGTTGCAATTTATTTCTTTTAGTAAGTCTGAATACTGTATACTTTTATGTTTTTAAATATCACATACTGAAGAAAGTACAGACATTTCTACATTTGTATTGAAGTTATTAACTAGGTACCAATTTTTTCAGTCAGTATCTATGGAACCTTGAAAATATTTATTAAGTATTGTAAAGAGTAATAAAAAAGTTAAATGTCAAAATTATTATATGTAAATCTTTGGGGTTTGATTTACTATGTGTCAAGACACATTATTATTTTAGAAAACCATAAAGCGTTTCCTGAATGAACATTTCCAGTTCAGTGCTTCTCTGAGATAGATTGTGCCACTTAAAATTCAGCAAAGAAAAATTACAAAATATATAAATGAGAAAGAAAATTCAATGGTGGGATGCAATACTATTTGATGCACCTACAAAACTTTGGGAACCAAGAAAACATAAATATCTAGATTTTCTCTCAAAATTTTATAATGAACACTGAGTGAAAGTGAACTGAAAACATTTAATCAAACATAATGTATCTACACAATGAGAAAGCTCTTATTGATGCCCGGAAAATTAATCCCCAAAATTTTTTGTATAGTATTCAAAACACACATAGCTGCTAACTTTAAAATATAAAAATTTCATGCTACATGGCAATTTAAATTCAAAAATATATTTAAATATGTAATTTGAATTATTAAATAAGTTATAATATGGTTTTAATAGTAAACATAAATTTAGACTGAGAAATTAAATATTAAGCTATTGTTTGGGCTAATTTCATTCAATTTTGCATTTTTTTTAAATATATCTTATATGAAAGAAGAGAAAAATTTTATTCGACAATGCTTGTAAACATTATGAAAATAAAAATTAATGTATAAAAATATATAATGGACTGTATGGATGCAATGTTTTTCTTCATTTTTATTAAAACACATCAATAAACTATAAGTAATACTTTATTGAAACCAATGTTCTGGATAATTATTATTATTATTTTTGCACTGATTTAACCTACAGAGAACAAATGATATACCTTGACCCCAAGCCAAATGTGTCTTTCTGAGAGACATGGTCGCTAAGCCTATACTATTATCGCAGATACTATTAAAAGGTAGCAATAGTACTATTTAAAATCTAAGGAAAAATTAAATAATAATATTTACTGTCAAACATTAGTCGAGTCTTTATAAAATGCTCTGCAAATCTCTAATATATTAAAACCCTTCAGATCAAATAAAAATGAATCAGGAAAATGACTGAAAATCACTTGAGAAAAAATTGAATTTTGCACAATTTAAGTTTCATTAAGGAATAACATTGTTGCTTTAGCTATTTATTTTAAAGAATTTATCAGTAATGTTTTTAATAATCAAAACAATTTTTTTTTTCAATTTACATTTAAAGGAAATGATTTAAATTCAAACAGTTGAAAAGATGAGATTTACTGAGAGACTGGAAATTGTAATGAAAAACTGGGAGCCTCTTGACTTTATCAATACAGCTGTGCTTACTGAAAAAATTATTTGAAAACATTCTTCAACTGATTTTGGACTGTACAAATGTTCATCACATTTTTCAAAACTGGAAAATTTACAGGATTGGTTTTCAAGTTTTCTAAAAAAAATACTATACAGTACAAAGTCTGTAATCCGGACTCGCCGGGACTTCGGCGATTCTGGATTATAGATCATCAATTTAAATCTGGTAAGATGGCAATGCAGAAATCATACAGTTAAAAATATGAAACCGCAATTTATGAAATAAAGAGCAATTATGATCTCAAGGGTATCAAAATTTATAAAAAAAAGCTTAATATGTATTTGTTTACTTTATTAAAGATTTCTTTCAATGTAAGTTGTTTAAGTTGCTTCGTTTTTTGTGCTAAACATGCATGCGTAAAGCATACAAAAAAAAAAAAGTTTTGTGTCTTTGAGGTCCGGATTATAGATCATTCCGGATAATGGATTACAGACTTTGTGTATATATATATATATATATATATATATATATAAAAAAAAACTATGATTTGTTCAAACCATCTCATTAGTTGTATGAGAATTTTTTTTAACATTAAACCATGACTGCTTGTGCATATTAAAAATAATTTCACCAAAGTATACTCCTTTATAGTAACATTATTCATTTCTATAGATGGTAAATTTTATCAAAAATAGAAAACTGTTGCTTTTTTGATGGCTCAGAATTTCTTAATGTGATGATGGCTTTAAATCTATATTCTGATACATTTCCAATTTAGAGTTTAGGTTTCAAATAGATGTTAAAATATAAATAACTTGCATTAGAATCAACAAGACAAATTTATATGTCTGCACGATATAATAAAATACTAGAGCTCCTTTAAAAATAATTGGCAAACTCAAAATTAATATTCTAGATTCAGTGATCTCCCCCTAAATTCATTTGTTCTCCCAAATTCGGGATCTTTCTATGATATGTAACAACGTCAAATTAACCAATCACAGATTAGCTCTACTTATACCTCAAATTTAATATAAATATTGCTGCCGAATTAATTGCGTCATGTTCTTTCCTTCCCTAACTGCTGCTCTGCTTCTCAAATGCCTACATCTTAGGATTAAAAAATAGTACATAGAAATAGATACTAAAATAAATATAGAAAATAGTACATAGAAATTTATCAAATCATATTTAATTATGATGAAATAAGTATCTGCCAAATTAATTGGATATGTGTGAGAATAAAGATTGGTGATTTAAAGAAATCCAAGTCGTTATCTTCATCTGTATATCTTAACCACACCCATGACGGATATTGAAAGCTATTAAGAGCTCCAGGATTCGAATGTGCATTCAAAAACTTTACATGTATATTAATAAAATGTCTTTAAAATTTTAATTTACACTGGGATTAGCCATCATGGTATTTGGTGTTCTTTAAGTTAAAAGATGATATATTTTTGTAATAAATCATTTTCTAGCAATACTAAATTAATTAGTGGCAATTGTCTATGTTTAATGAAAAATTTCTTTGATACATTTTTGCATTCCCCCCTAACAACTGTAAGTAAAAATACTTCTTGCAACACAATAACACAGCAATTATATTGCAAGAAGTTAAGCAAAATAATTAATGTTGATAAAAGTTATGATATGAATCAAGATCTCAATTATAATAAAAACATGCATTTATTATTGCCAAATCATTCGATTTTTACAATGAGAACTTGTATGCTACTTTGAATTTAATATCCAATATAAACTTAATTTATATTGGATAATAATATAAATTAAGTTTATATTGGATGTAATATACAATAAAACTTTAGCTTCAATTTTTTTCCCTCATATTTCTCAATAATACGTTATGCTTTATAACATATCTAGTTCCCCTTGAAGTGTTCTAATATTATGTAGCTTTGAGTGAAATTAACAGTGCTAAGGTCATTACTTTCCCTATTTGAAATAATTTTATAGCATATTTCTGACTTTTTGTGTATATAGTTTTTCTTCTGTAAATATTCAGATTTTGAGTAAGTCAGCTATGCCAAGGTTTTTCATCTTGCCTTGTTAGAAGTTTTCAAATTTAGTCACCTCAATATAACAATTTGCCTTAACAAACTGATTTGGAACTGCTGCGTTTCCATCTGAAAGAAAAGTATAAAACTGAATAGTGTTTTGAAATGGTTCGTATATATCCATTCCCAATCTGAATTTACAATAAAAATTAAATAAATCTTAAACAAATTCTTCCTGTAAGACAATAAGACCATATTCGTCTCCCCCCCCAACTTCTGAGCATCCGGTGTTGAAAATAAAAAATATTCACTTGATTTCTCCCTTTCTCGATGCATTCAGAAAACGGGCTGCCCTAAATTGTACAATGGATTCATCCATGTAGTAATCGTTTTTATCTTACTAACGAAAATAAACTCTCACAAACTATCAAAACTAAATACTAGATACTAAAACTGACCCATTACAGTGAAGCAAACACGAATTGACATTCAGTATACAATTTACTGAGTCAGCTTCACATTCACCTTCTCTAACTATTTATAAATTTGAGGCCTAAGGAAGTAGAGACGCAACAAGAAGAATGAGCAAGATTCTATTAATGGGAAATAGAAATGAAGACAACATATGGATACTGCAATGTTAATGTTACTATTTATTATTAGCATGTGGGTTTTTTTTTAATGTTGTGATTTAAAAAGTTTAATCATGACTGTTCCGTCTTTTCGGTAGATAGGTGGTCTAAAATCACATTTGTCATCGAATTGTCGGTCAAAAATACAACCATGCGAAAATTGTAACGAGAAAAATCATAATAAACTTTTCTGCCGTTTGAAATCGAAAGAAATGGAAGATGTTAAATCCGCAGATACGCAAAATAAAACTTTAGTATCTACTTCCCTACTGTAACACTCTAAAACCTGAAAATAGTGTGCTTTTACAGACATGTTCTGTTATTGCTCAAAGCAAAAATAAATCGAGAATCGTAAGATTATTAATTGATTCAGGTAGTGAACGAAACTTCATCACCCACAAGTTAGCGCGCGATTTAGAATTGCAAGTCATTAGAAAAGAATCTCTAACAATTTATTCGTTTGGAAATCAGCGCGGTTACTCGCAAGAATTTGATGTATATAGTCTAAGAATAAAAACGATGATCGCTGCCTTGTTGTAGAAGCTATCGGGATAGAATTAATATCATCGATAGAATTCCAGGCACCATCAACATGTCAAAACATTAAAGAATTTGACTAAAAAGGGTCTGGAACTTTCGGATACAAGTCCCGTTAATGAGAACATAAATATTCTGCTTGGCGCGGAGCATTTCTTGTGTATACAAACGGGAAGTAATTCAATGATAAATGATGGTTTGTTTATAGTACCGACGATATTTGGATACACAGTGATGGGTAGAGTAAAAAATAATAATACTCGAATTAATGCGTTGTTTTTATCTACCGTTGAAGGAAACACATTTGACTTACAGTCATTCTGGAAATTGGATTCGATAGGAACTGAAAATGAAAACAAAACATTTTTCGGAAACTGATTTGAATACTATTAAGCATTTCAACGACAGTTTATGAAATTTAATAACGGCAGGTACGAAACAAAACTCTTTTGGAAGGACAATAAATCACAACTCGGCTGATAATTTTTTCGTTGCTAAACAACGATTTTTAGGACTAAAGCATAAATTAAAGGGAAATGATTTCCTATATAATGAAT